CCCATTACGGCCTTCAGCAAATAGTGAAAGGGTTATGAATTACAGCACCCTTCTTTTATACATCGAGCCAAATCATCTGTGTATAAACAGCTCATTAATTTTGGGAAGATGTTTTTGGGTGGGTTTTGCTTTGAAAAATTGGCACGTTTGGTGCTCTGAAAAAATTGGAGGAAGGAATGGCGTGAGTTTTAGGAAGATGAACACCTGCTGAAAACAAAGGCTTCTTCTGTACCTCAAGCAGCTCAAAAGGAAGAACCCCCCCCTCCCGACCCTGACCCTCCCCCCGCATCCGTATCTCAACAAGCCGAATTCTCATTTGTTCCTCCCTCCCCGTACGGCAGGTATTGTTGATTCCTGCCAGATGGGAATTTTTCAGATCCTGGCTGCTATTCTTCACTTGGGCAATGTGGCATTCACCTCTCGAGATGCTGACAGCTGCATCATACCTGTAAGTCCCAAATATGCCAGACGTGTTGTTTACCGTGGGGACCCTTGATAGAACCTCCCTGCTCTTGGGGGGTTTCTGTGCTGTGGAGTGGGCCACAAAAATGCAGGCACCCTCCATTTCCCCCACCGCCTTTCCCCCTCGTGAATAACGCCCTCCATTTTTCAAAAACATCCTTTTGAGTAACATCGTCCCTTTCCCCTTCATACTAGCTCTATTAAATTCCCAGTCGGTGTCTGTTCAAGAGTTACGCTGACATGGAAAGCATTAGATGGAGCAGATTCTTTGTCCTGTGTTGGCACAAAGCTGCAATCCTGTGATGGATCGGGAAGCTGTGCAGAAACTTAGTTTTCTAGATGTGAGGACGCAAAGTCAGCAGCTCGCTGGAGTATTTCTGTAGTTTCTGTGGCTTCTCTAAAACACGGGATTACCCTTAAAGAGGAATGAGGGGAGGGTGGGCCTTATGGAGGAGCTGTGCAGGCCCCCTCTTTCAAAGATCCCCTTCTTTACCTCTTGGCTGGGGTCCGTAGGTGCTGGGGTTCAAAGCCCTTTCTCCTCTCCAACCTCCAGTGTCGCTTTTTACCTATCTCGGGAGCACCGACAGCAGGCATTGATGGTGAGTGTGATTTTCCAGATTCCAGTCCTTCTCTGTCCTTTCAGCCCAAACATGAGCCCCTGAAGATCTTCTGTGAACTCATGGGTGTGGAGTATGACCAGATGGCCCACTGGCTGTGCCACCGGAAGCTGGTCACGGCCACGGAGACCTACATCAAGCCCATTTCCAAGCTGCAGGCCACCAACGCCCGGGATGCGCTGGCCAAGCATATCTATGCCCGCCTCTTCAACTGGATTGTGGGCCATGTGAACAAAGCCCTCCTCTCCACCATGAAGCAGCACTCCTTCATCGGCGTCTTGGACATCTACGGGTGAGCGACGTCTCTCGGCACGTCCGGCCGCCCGGTGGGGCACCAGAGTCCAGGAAGGTTAAATTTGGGGCTTCAGAATCTTTTCCCCAAGCTGGCCATGGGAGGGAGGTTGCTTTGGGTGCTGTAGGCCAAAAGTAACTTTTCCAAACTCTGAAGGGCCACCCGTGTGTGCTTGTGGCCACAGGACCATGTGTGTGAACTGACCCTTATGGATCGTGCCTCTCCCGCGGGACTCTGGCCTCCTCCCCTCATCAGGGAAGTCAGCACCCACACGTGGGGTTGGCCGTTACATAACTGAGCCATGAGAAGCTCTGTGCCGGGACAAGCCGGTTCTAGGGGCCCCGGTGCTGCAGAAGGCATGGCTTTCATGAGCTGGGCCGGGGGGGTCGGGTGGAGGGCTTCCAGGAAGAATTGAGGGGGGGGGGTCCACCAACCGTGGGAAGGAATTTGAGGGAGTGTTGATGACCCCTGGGTGGCTCCATGAAGAGGGTGTGGGTGTGTTGCCTTTTCCACGTAGTGTGATAGCAGAGCATGCCTTTCCACCCCACTCTTTTGGTCTGTGGGGCAGTTGCAGGGATGGATCTGGCCAGCCCCCTGGCATGCACAGCTGCTGCATGTAAATGCCTGGGGCTGCCATTTCCTTCCCCTCAAAGAGGCTTTCCTGGGAGCGCCCAAGAAAGGGCTGGCTAGAAACGCTTCCCTTCCAAGGACTGAGAGAGAGAGAGAGAGAGAGCTCAGCCACTGCCTCGGCTTCAGCCACCTGGCCCACAGACTTTCCGCCTCCTTCCCAAAGGGTGCAACACCCCTTCCTTCAGCTTGGCTGCTGTGCCGGGGGGGGGACCGGGGAGGGCAGAAGCTTCGTTCAACACCCCTCTGCTTGGGTGCGGTTAAGACAGGGGTGGCTGGAGAAATCCAGTCCGTATCCCCTCCGACTCACTTCTCAGTTTCCTCCCATCCTCCAGCCAGCGTTTGTTGCCAGCGTTGTCCCATTTTAGGGTCACCTGGTTGCCGTTTTCTGTTCACCGTTAGCTGATGGTGGCCAGCTTTCTTTCTCATGCCAGTCATTGCATTTGCTTTTTATCTCTCTCTGTGCAGGTTTGAGACCTTTGAGATAAACAGCTTTGAACAATTTTGTATCAACTATGCCAATGAGAAGCTGCAGCAACAGTTCAATATGGTAAGAGGAGGAGGAAAGGAGAGATCTGTGTTTTGATTTTCCCGCCCACCATGTTGTCCCTTTGGATCACTGGATCCTCAGGGCTGCTGTTGAGCTGGCCGTGCATCATCCTGGTAAAATAAAAATGTTGTGTGCTTTATGAATGATGGTGGTGGCTGTTAAGAAGAACCGCTGTCACATTTCCTTAACTTCTCATTCTCCCCATGTTGCTATCTAGTCTTCTTGCCACCCTCCTCTTTTCATAGAGTAAAAGCCTTCTTAAAATGTTGGCGTTTAGCACATGATACAGAAAGGAAGGGTTACTTTCACCTGCTTATTTCGCCACTTGGCAAACAATGGGTTGCATTTAGATTCAATGGGATTGAGGCGAGCGGGGCAGGGGAGAGGCGGTCATGGAAGAGCCAGTGAACAGGCCCCCAATAACCCTGCTCATCCCTCTTCCGGCAGCATGTCTTCAAGCTGGAGCAAGAGGAATACATGAGAGAAGAGATCCCTTGGACCTTGATTGACTTTTACGACAATCAGCCCTGCATTAACCTCATAGAGGCCAAAATGGGTATTTTGGATTTGCTGGATGAGGAATGTAAGGTAGGAGGAGTCTTGATCTCCTAGATGTGTATCTCTCTCTCTCTCTCTCTCTCTCTCTCTCTGTGTATACAGTGGTGGAGCTGGGATGTGGGAGATGGGTCGCGTTGCAGGACAATGGAGCCCTACCGCCCTTCCTTTGAACACTGTGCTTAGGCATCTACCAGGTGGCTGGACTTTTCTGGCCTGCTGAGTTCAGGACCAGCCCCACTTGAGGCTGCTCATGAATCTGGGAGCAATTTGGAGGGGGCAGCTTCTGAGTGAGAATGAAGAGGACTGGACTCTGGGTGTGTGTGTGTGTGTGTGTTTTGGGGGGGTTGAAGTCTTCCAGCTGCTGAGGGATGTGCCATTTGAGGTTGTGTGTTGGTCCTAAAGAGGAGCTTGTGAAGGAGACCGTGCTAGATTTGCACCGTGGCTGATGCAGTTAATTCTTTTCCCCCTCTGGAGTGCCATTCCCCTCCCTCCTCTGCCTAGTTTTCCTCCTGTGATGAAAATCAACTGCGTGACTCAGTCTATCCTCGAGGGTCTTTGGTCCTCTTTGAAATTAGAAGGCAGGCTCTAAAATGAGCAAGGAAGGGTAGCTCTCACAGAATATGCCTTGTGGTAGGAAACAGAGTGTTGGAAAGAATAGGCGGCATATAAAATTAAATAAATAGATGGGCCGTCCCTTTCTAGTCAGCAGCAAAATGAACCGTGAATGCCCTGCCGTGGTTGTTTGAGTCTTAGGGATTCAAGAGAACCCAAAAACAACAGAGGGATTTTTCTACCTCAGCTGTAAGATGAAATTAATCAGAATGCTTGCCATGTTTTTATTCTTTCCTTGTCTAGATGCCTAAAGGTTCCGACAACAGCTGGGCCCAGAAATTATACAATACTCACTTGAATAAAACTGCACTTTTTGAGAAGCCCCGCATGTCAAACAAAGCGTTTATCATCCAACACTTTGCAGACAAGGTAAAAGGGTTTGTGTTTTCTGCTGGACTCGACACTCTTTTACTGCCCCAGAAATGCACGTCGGGTCTCCTTTTTGTGGGCTGGCCGGAGGATCCCTTTGCCTCCTGATGGCCCCTGTGCTGAGAGGATTGGTCAGTGGCTCGGTGGCACCAGCAGAGGTTGCCCAGCCTGGGCGGTGGGACCTCTTCCTGCGGGCATGCCCAAAGGCCTGCAGGGGAGTCGGAAGAGGACCCACCGTCCAGGTCTCCAAACCGTGTGAATAATACCAAGGCCCCTGGCAGGAAGACACACGTGTGCCCCTTGGAAGAGGAGCCGGTCTTGGGGGAAGTATTTGTATTCTGAGCTCCTGTGAGAGATGAAGACTATGTACACCTTCTCTTGGCTTTTTGGGGCTTGTAGGAAGCGTTTACGCTCAGAGGTCCCCGTCCCGTTCCAGTTTTATTATTAGGGTTGTAAAACAGAATGCTTGTCATTCCAGGTGGAGTACCAGTGTGAAGGATTCTTGGAAAAAAACAAAGACACTGTCTATGAAGAGCAAATCCATGTTCTTAGATCAAGTAAGGTTAGTACTGGGATTCATTCCCACTTTTCAGTCCTTCCCTGCTTATTCTATGTTGAGCTCTCGGCCACTTTAGCCTGCTCTCCTAATCGTGGTTTAATGACTCCACGCTGAAACTCGCCAGTGTCTTGAGAACTGTATCTTGTTTAGTGCCCTCAAAACATGTAGTTGTTCTCTAAAGTCTTATCAGATTTACTCCAAAGAAAACTACGGCATGAGAGCGTGATGCCGCCTCATCTGCAGCCTGATTGAGTTGCAGGCCTGCCACGTTTTGCAAGTAAAGTTAATGCTGCTTTAAACATTGGTGCCTAAGTCTGGAGGCTTCCTCCTTCCATTCCCACCTCTTCTCCTTTTTCAAATCAGCAGCTAAGGAGCAGTAAAGTTTATGGCTCTTCCAGAAACCTTAAGATATCCTCCTTCTGTGCATTTTTAATTCCCTCTTTTGTTTGTGTTTCCCTGAGGAGACAGTGGCCCCTTTTCTAACGGAGGTGTTTTCTTCTGTGTCTGGCCCAGCTCAAGATGCTGTCGGAGCTGTTCCAGGATGAGAAGGAGGCCAGCTCCACCTCGGCAACGCCCTCTGGCCGAACACCTCTGTCGTCTCGAGCCCCAGTCAAGCCAGCCAAGTCTAAAGTGGCCCAAACCAGCAAGGAGCATAAGAAGACAGTCGGGCATCAGGTCAGTGGCGTCGGCGGATCGGGCCCTTCTGCAAATGGGCGACGCGCCATTATGTAGCCGAGCGGTTGGTGTTCCCATCACAGCAGGGACAGAGCGTTTTCGGCCTGCGGAGTGACATTTCTGCTCAGAAAGCTGACCGGATTGGGGTGGGTGGGTGTGCCTATGTTTCCCTTTCCTAACTTGCTCTCTTTTCAATCCCTCCCTTTCAGTTCAGAAATTCTTTGCATCTCTTGATGGAGACACTGAATGCCACGACTCCACATTACGTGCGGTGTATAAAACCAAATGACTTAAAGGTTGCATTCATGTAAGTTCCATTTGCACAGACTGTCTCACGCTTGGGGTGGAGGAGAAGCTCCGGCCTGGGAATGGATTGGGTCCCCCAAACCTCCCGTTACCCTCCGGGCCTGTTTCCGGAACCCTCCATCGGCCAGAGAGGGGTCTGCCAGGGAGACCCCCTTGACCAAGGTTTTCCTGCGTAGGTTTGATGAGAAGCGAACCGTGCAGCAGCTCCGAGCGTGTGGGGTGCTGGAAACGATCCGGATCAGCGCCGCTGGTTTCCCCTCCAGGTAAAGCCTTCGTGACCAGAGGTTTTCACGAGAAGACGAAACCTTTTTCCCCGCAGGGAGCTTTCCTCTTGGAGTCATGCCGTTCTTCTTCTTGAAACTAGGTGGACCTATCAGGAGTTCTTCAGCCGCTATCGCGTCTTGATGAAGCAGAAAGATGTCCTGAGCGACAGGAAGCAGACGTGTAAAAACGTCTTGGAGATTCTGATTCTGGTAGCAAACTCCCCTCCTCCATGTTCATGCTTGCAAAGGGTGTGGCTGTCCCTGAGCCTGCCGGGCACTTGGGGGGCAGGTCCGTTTATCCACCGGATGGGCCGGCTGAGGTCAGACTGGCCCCGGACGAGGAAAGAGTGCTGCGCGTGTGGGTTTGCACGGATGGGATGGCCGTCCTGCTTGAGCAAAGGTGGAGCCTCCCTGCCCTTCCCCCCCCCCGTGTGCCCCAGGGAGACTCTCTTGCCTTTCCATTGAAAGAGAAGGGCCCGGCTACGCCTCCCACAAACCCCTGGGAGCCTTTGCTCATTCCAGTTAACCGTGTGGCCTGTTGGTCTGGAAGGGAGACCTCAGGAGGAGGGAGCCACAACCAGGTCGTTGTCTCTTTTCCCCCTCGTGGGGTTCCTTTTAATAAACATTGGCACCCGGTCACCCGGTGGGGTCTCATGGCTTTGGACCCTTGCCTTGGGTGGCAAATGAGCTTGTGAGCAGACCCCGGCTAAGGAGGCCTTGCATTCTCTTGACGTTGCATCATAACGTAGCCTTTCTCAATCAGATGATGGTCGGTGGTCTCTTTTTATCCTTAATATTCCATCTGGCTGATGAATGGAAATAACAGGATTTGGAACAATTCTCTTTCTTCCCTTTGGTCTGATCCTGAGAAGGTCGTCTTGTCCTTCCTAGGGCACCGTTATGATCTTCTTGTTAATCCTGCCCTCACTGAGTCTTCGCCCTGCCCTGCCCCCCCCCAAAAAAAACACTTCTTAAAGAATGCACTGATTGTCTGTTTCCTTTGAAAACAGGACAAGGATAAGTACCAGTTTGGAAAGACAAAGATATTTTTCCGGGCTGGTCAGGTCGCTTACATGGAAAAAATAAGGGCTGATAAACTCCGGGCTGCCTGCATCCGGATCCAGAAGACCATCAGGGGGTGGCTGATGCGGAAGAAGTACCTGCGCATGAGGAAGGCCGCCATCACCATTCAGAGATACGTCAGAGGTTACCAGGCGCGATGGTAAGCCCCCCCCCGCTCACCCCCAGCCCATGTGGGCAAGCAGGCTCTTCATTTGAGTGACGCATTGCTTTAGAATGGAGTCTTCCACAGGGAGTCTCATCAGCCTGTTTATAGACCAAATGGAAGCACCTCCCCCACTGCCCCACACATACCAAAGTTAAAATAATACGATTTTTCAGCTGAGCCACAGCTTTGCAGCTCCCCAAAGTCTCCAGGTGCCAGTCCTTCTTGAGGATAAGGCCGTTTCCTTACGGCACCTCCCCCCAACCTGGGTTTTTTTGTGAAATTGAAAGAGCATTTCTGACTGCTTCTGGTTTGGGTTGTGGGGGTGGCTGGCCTGGGGAGAGTCCTGAGGAGGGAAAAAATGGTTCCCTGGGCCCATGTCTCTTCCCCACAGTGGCCTATCGAACTTGAACATGCCTGTGGAGAGAGAGTAATAGGGCGAGATGACTGTGAAATGGCAGTGGAGACTGTCCATAAAAAGGCCGCTCCCTTTTTGACTCCTGTTGTTCTTGGGCAGCCTGGCCACTTTCCTCCGGAGAACCAAAGCAGCCACCGTCATTCAGAAGTCCCAGCGGATGTTCGCTGCCCGCAGGCGTTACCTCCGCATTCGGGCCGCCACTGTGGTCATCCAGTCCTACCTGCGAGGTTGTCTTGCTAGGAGGAAGTACCAGAAAGTAAGTGCCTGGTTTTGAATGCTTGGCTTGGTGCAGGGGCAGAGATGGTGGTCATGATCCTGCTTTCTTCCCAGAGAGGTGCGTTTCCGAGGGGGGTGTTCCTTCATCTCCCCCAAAGTATGGAACTAGTGGATGTCTCTGGATTTAAGTAGCAAGGCTTTGGGTGGTTCTTACGTGATCCTCTGGAGTCAGGTTTGACCCTGTCTGTGGCTCCACAACAGGATGCGGGCCGTGTTTCTCAGGGAGCAGAGAGGGTGGGGACCAGAGGAGGGGGCAGCGCAGGAACAGAGGCTGGCCCGCTCCGAAGGACAAGATGCTGCAGCACAGAGAGAGGAATCGCCAGGGGGCCCGAGGAGAGGACATGGCATTTGAACAGCTAAAGCTCCTGGAACATAAAACACCATCATCATTTTCAGACATGTTGGGCACAGCAGATCTGAGAAAGATTGCCCTGCTCAACGGAAAGGCGTATTTCCCCGTCTCGCACCTTTACTCCCTTTTGGGGCTGCAACTCCCGCCGGTGGCCCTCCCTGCTCTGTGGTTCTGGGGGTTGGAAGGGATTGGGGTTGGGGAAGGGCCGCTGTAACTCATGAAGCTCTCAGGATCATCCCAGCCTTGGAACTCTCCCGGATGAGGCCCCGTCAGATCAGGCTGGTGTTCAAGGCAGGGACAGGCAGTCCACGGGGGTCATATACAGAACGTGTCTGTGTATCTCCAGGAAGACCCTGGCAAGAGCCTGGTAGCTTGCAGTGCGTCCGCGCTGTACCTCACACGAGTGCTCTCCATCCCCGGCGGATGCTGCACCGCCTTCCTTCCTAGTTTTTGTGTTCTTGTTTTTTCCGCTTCCTGATTTCATCCGCAATCTAAGTGGCTCTTTTAGCTGTTGGTATGAACTGGTTGACCTCTGTAGCTGGGTGGGTTTTTTTTTTCTTTTAAGTCTGAAATCTAGGAAAAGGGATCCTGACTGAGTGTTTGTGACTCTGCAGATGCTTTGGGAGCACAAGGCCACTATTATCCAGAAGCACGTGCGGGGCTGGCTGGCTCGCAGGCGCTACCAGAGGGCCCTGAAGGCGATTGTCTACTTGCAATGCTGCTGCCGGCGCATGATTGCCAAGAGGGAGCTGAAGAAGCTGAAGATTGAGGCGCGCTCCGTGGAGCACTACAAGAAGCTCAACGTTGGCATGGAGAACAAGATCATGCAGCTCCAGCGTAAAATCGACGAGCAGGTAGAGGGGCCCATCTGGGTCTCCATGAAGGCTGCTGGGAGTGCAGGATCAGATCCCGAACACACACAAACACACACTGCCTCCTCCAGCAAAAGGGAAGGGCGGCGTGATCTGTTCATATTGTGCAGAAGTGCCCTGTCTTCTTTTAAAATGGAAAGGCGTGCACGGGCAGAATGTATGGCAGGCAGGATCAGCATTTATTTCTTATTTTCTTTCAGACAAGAGACTCCAGGTCGCTGCTTGAGAAGTTAACAACCCTGGAAGCAGCATACAGCTCTGAGACAGAGAAGCTAAGGAACGATGTGGAAAGACTGAAGATGAGTGAAGAGGAGGCCAAGAATGCCACCAACCGAGCCCTGAGCCTTCAGGAGGAGATTGCCAAACTCCGAAAGGAGCTGCACCAAACGCAGGCCGAGAAGCAGACCATCGAAGAAAAGGCGGACGTCTACAAGCAAGAGACAGACCAGGTGAGCCCGCGTGCCGTGCGCTGCAGGAACGGAGGTGAGGGCACCCACAAGGTGGCCACAACGAGATTGTAGGACTGCCAAGTTTAGTAGGTTAGTGATGCTCATTTGGAAACATGTCAAAGCAGAAGCAACTGAGCAGAATGAATGAAGGCCAGGAGGTTGTAGAACTCCCGAACGGCAGGAGAGGCTGGGAAAGGAAGAGGAGGCTTCAGAGGGAGCGGGACTCCAGAGGCTGCCTCCGTGGATGCAACACAGCAGGGTTGTTTTAGAGCGGTCCTGCCCAAGGCCCAAAGAGCGACGGTGGCTTCCCCTCTCCAGTGGGAGCCAAAAGGACAGGATTAAAAAGGCTGCTGCGACAGACCCCGGGTTGGGCTGGAAGATAGTCCATAATGTATACGATGAGTTGAGCGGGCGCCACTGCAGAAGCGGTGTGCCCTTCCGGGAGGACTGGGAGTCTCTTCCAAAGGACGGAGCCTCAGCCTTCCGGCAAGCGTTGCAGCCAGAGGCAAGCGTCGGAGTGCAGTTCCCAGAATATCCTGTAAAGCCTGGCCAGTGGCAGGGGATTTGGGGTGCTCTGGTCCAACGCCTCTGGAGGACCATGGATTCCTGTTTTTGGGGAGCCCGAGTGGGGGGGAGGGGCAAGGAAGGTTTGGCAGGTCCCTTGTGGCCTCGAGTGGTCTGCCCCGACTAACATATTGTGTTAATTAAGGGGGATCTTTTTTGGCTTTAGCTAGAAGTTCTTTCTGATATCTTTTCCTCTTTTTTAAAGCTGGTGCTGGAACTGAAAGATCAGAACATGCTGCTTAAGAAAGAGAAAGAGGACCTGAACCGCCGCATCCAGGAGCAGGCGAGAGAGATAACAGGTACGCTGGATTTATTTGCTGAAATCTTTTTTTCTTTTCTTTTCTTTTTTCCTTCTCTTCGGTTTTCCTCACTTAAACTCCTGCTCCAGGTCACAAAACCTCAATGCACGTAGGTTGGCGTAAACATCCATGAGTCGCCCTGTTGTGGGTCCCTGGCTGGAGGGGAATCCTGTCCCTTGCCGGGCCCGAGATGCATGCACAGAGAAGTCGCGATCTCTCCAGCCAGAGGTGGGCAGGCTCCCAGGGGGCAGGCAAGGCTGGGACCCAAAGCGGGGAAGGCCACCCCGTCCACCTTCGGGCCCCTTCCTGCCTGCCTACCCAGCAGGCCGGTAATGAATGTTTTTGAAATCAGCTCTGTTTATTCATATTGCAGATATGACAGGATCCCAATTTACAGTCTTTTGTTTCCTTATGGAGAGTGACCTTCCTTTGGGGGGGGGGGCGGGAGATCCACACTCTTCATGAATAGTCAGCCTAGAACTAGAGTTCATTTTTCCCTGCCCCTCCGCAGAGGTCATGGAGAAAAGGCTCCTGGAGGAGACCAAGCAGCTGGACATGGACCTGAACAACGAGCGACAGAGGTACCAGAATCTGCTCCAGGAGTTCAGCCGCTTGGAGGAGCGATACGACGACCTCCGGGACGAGATGACGCTGATGGTGGTGAGCGGCTTAAAACTGCCGGGAAGGGGCCGGGCCAAAAAGCCAAAACAACCCACCAGCGGCTGAGCTGGGGGTGGCGCTGCGGCCCTGGGGGAACCCCAGATGTGGGCCCAAGGGCGGTGGGGTTGCGCAGAGAGTGCCTGCCGTTTGGATCAGGGAGGGTTGCCCCATCCTGCTGTTTGGAAAAGTGGCCACGTTGGGAAACCGCAGTCCGAAAAGGCAACCCCTTGGTACCCCTGCCGTCGCCTGAGCTCCCGCTCTTCCTCCTCCTCCTCCTCTGGCTGTGGCTCAGAGTTCTCCTCCACCTGTTGGTCCTTGCTAAGCTCTTGGCTCTTCTTCTGCAAAGCAATGTGCCCGGCACGGAGCCTTGGGGGAACTCACAGGCCAACATTCATGCTAATGCCTTTCCTTCCTTTCTTCCCTGCTCTCTTTCTCTCTACAACCCCCCCCCCAAACACCCCAGAATATCTCCAAGCCTGGGCAGAAAAGAAGGGATTCCACGCATAGCAATGAATCCGAGTATACCTATAGCTCTGAGATCACGGAGCCCGAAGAACTACAGATGCGGCAGGAGGTAAGGCTGGAACGGTGGGCGAGTGGAGGGGCGCCCCCTGCTGGCCCAGCCGGGGTGGATTTCCACCCTGCCGCCAACCAGAGCTGGCTGTGGGTGAACACAAGGTCACCCCTCTTGTGCGAAGAGCAGCCCCTGAAATGGCGCAGGGACCCTTTAGATGGTCCCGTCGGCTCTGTGAAACTGCACCTCTTTTCTGACTGTAAACTGGGCTCCTCCTATGTAGGGTAATTGACAATGTTTCCCCCGTCCCCTCTCTTTTTAATGCATTAGGGTTTTTTCCCCCCATTCTTTTTAGATTTCTGTGTTGTGTGCTATAAGAACGATAGCACAGCAGAGTGCAGAACCCAGCATTGAGTGGGTTAAAGGGTCTGGGTCGCCCAAACCCTTTTTTTCTCTTCCAAGCATTAGACTGCGAAATGGAGGCCCCGTTGAGAGCCGTGGGACGCCCCCCCTTTGGACCATCGCTCCCAGCATTTCCCAGCCCGCTTTGGGGGAGGCAGAAGGAGGCTGACAGATACAAGGCGGCCTTGGGCCCCCGTGGAGTCTCCTCCCGGCCCTGCTTCTGCCGTGGCTTCTGGAAGGGGTTTTGGGAGAAGCCGAGGCCCTCCTGCCGTCCATCGAGGCCTCGCTTAGGGCAGGACACCCTCCCCTCTCGCCCCCCCCGCCCAAAGAAGCACAGCCGGTGCAGTCTTGAAAACCTCTCCTTCCTTCTCTTTCCGTCCGAAGAGAGTTCTTGAACAAACAAACACAAGAGAGAGCGACCGCTTTCAGAGTTGGAAGCGGTTGACGGGTCCAAGACACACGTCTTGTTCCCTTCCTTACATTGAATCCAACATCTGAGACTGGTCATCACGTGGGCGCCCAGTTACAGAAACGTGGCGTGTGTTTGATTTCTCTTGGAATCTAACTTGTAAACCTACCTTTTTTCTTCCTTCCCTTCCCTTTCAAACAAGTAAGAAAGAAAGGTATGATCCATAAGCCTACGTCTAGTTAGTTCCCAGCTTTTCTGTCTGTAAAGCTTTAGGGTAGATGCCTTGTTGTATTAGATTTCCTTTTTTGGAATGACCTCTTAAAAATTCTCAAATAACCTTTGGAACTAGAGTTGGAATGCGGATCAGCCGTTCTCTTCCTAACCGAGTAACATTTCCGCCTCTGCTCCTCGTTCCCCCTGCCCTCTCTCCTTGCCCTTGCTGACTCTGAGGGGGCTGGGGGGGGGCGCGCGTGCGTGCGTGGCTGCCTGCAGGCTGAGCTGGTGACCTCGCATCCTGCGGGGTCTTTGCAGCACCGCTGGCATGGGGCAGCCAATGGGGCTGTTCCAGAATGCCAGGTGGTGTTCCCGGCGCGCCCCTCCCTGTGCCCCCACCACCGTCATTCCCCTGTGGGGGCAGGTGGCCCAGGCCCAGCCAGGAGCTCTCCGGGGCCGAGCCTTCTTGCGCCGCCGGGGCAAAGCTGCTGGGCCTCGCCGGCTTCCAGCCTCCAGCAGCACCCAGGGACCGGAAAGGACCTGGCTGAGGTCCCCCTTTGAATTCCGCGATGACTCTGGCATATTCTGAGCACCCTCTGCTTCCCCTCGGCTTAGGAGCCAAGCGACAAGAAAGCCCCTCTGGACATGTCTCTCTTCCTCAAGCTGCAAAAACGGGTTACCGAGCTGGAGCAGGAGAAGCAGTGGCTGCAGGAGGAGCTGGACCGGAAGGAGGAGCAGGCCCTGCGAGCGAAGGCCCAGGTGAGGAAAGGGGGCCCCTTCCCTCTTGGGAGACGTTGAGGAGCCCCTGGGACCCCCTTCCAGGAGGTCAGGGCCTCCTTCATGCCCGGCCCTCGAAAGGCATGCTGGGCAGGTGCAGACAGGAAGGAAGGGACAGGTGGGTTCCCACTCCTGGTGTATTTGCTCAGAGAGCAGTTGGACGTAGGCCCCCCCGCCTTCCCTTGGACATCCACACTGGGCCTGAATCAATGCCGGCGTCGGAAGGCCCTCGGCTGCAGCCCTTGGGTGGCCTCTCCCACTGCGGGCAGGCGCCCCCAGCAGACCAGTCCCCCCCCCCGAGGGTGAGCATTAATCCCTGAAATGGGTGGCGTTCAGTAAGTTGCAGAAGCGTGTTGCCCTCCCGTGCATCTAGTCCTTCTCGCTTGGATCTCAGTGTTTTCTGCAGATCTCACACACACACACACACACAATGCAAAGAAGGAAGGACAGCATTGTCTCTCTCTGTGTCTCTGTTCTCCTAGGAGGAGGAAAGGCCTCCGATGCGAGGAGCGGAACTGGAATACGAATCGCTTAAGGTAATTCCGGGTCTCTTTTTTTGGGGGGGGGGAATCCTCCTTTGTGCATATGACCAGGCAGGTGAAGAATTTTAAAAGCAGATTCAGATAGGGTTTTCATAGAAATGCTTTGAGGCCCCGAGGGCGCCCTCTTCCTAAAAAGTCTTCAGGATGGTTTGCCCGCTTGCGAACGAAACGCCGGCAAGAGCGATCCGAGGCAGACTGAGGGACTTCCCCCTGTACTTGTCGAAGGGGCTTGCCTCTTTGAGGGACTTTGGGTCCGAGGAGGGGGAGGTACGGACCCAAATACGCCTGGAGTCCTTCCAGATGGGCCGGTGGTTTCCCTTTTCTCTGCTGCAGCGCCAAGAGCTGGAATCCGAGAACAAGAAGCTGAAGAATGAGTTGAACGAGCTGAGGAAGTCCCTGATGGAGAGGAGCGCTCCGGATGTCACGGCCCCGGGTGCCCCGGCCTACCGGGTCCTCTTGGACCAGATGACCTCCGTCAGCGAGGAGCTGGAGGTGCGCAAGGAGGAGGTCCTCATCCTGAGGTCTCAGCTGATGAGCCAGAAGGAGGCCATTCAGCCCAAGGTAAGAAGCTGGCGGGGAAGGCGGGAGCTCCTCCTGGCGTCTCTCCTCCTCGTTGACAGCGCCAGGATCGTGGTCCCTGACGGGTGGGTTTCCTCCTGCCTTCGATCCAAGAACAACGCAAGAGCAGCTCAGGAGAGGGAGAGAGAGAGAGAGAGACCCCACACAGACTACCCCTTTCCTTCCGCCGTGCCCTTGGCTGTCTCTGGAGTGTGTGTGTGTATGGGGGGGTCTGGATTCTGCCACCTCCTGTTGCCGCCCAGGGTTCTGGGAAGAGGGGTCCTCTCCAGCCTGTTGAACCAACAGGGCAGCCTTCCCAAACCTTGGCCGTCGATGCTGGAGCCGTTGCTGGGGGGGGGGCGCGTACAGAGGTTTCTAGTCGGCCATCTCTCGCTGATGGGATGTGTCTCTTTCTTTTCCCTTCCTGCCTGCCCCCCCCGGATGGCCAGGATGACAAGGTAAGCAGGGCTCCTTCTGTGGTCTGTGAACTTCCCTCCGTGCCAGAGGTGTTCTCATGGCACTCAGCGGGCATTTCGGTCGATACATTCAAGCCGTCCCCAAATTCACGGGGATGGTTTCTGAGTGCCTTCTTGCCCTTCGCCCGGCGGCTCGGTCGGGTCTCCCTGGGGCCAGGGCTCCTTGCCCCAGAGGGTGGAGGCTCCTTCTGGGTGGCCAGGTGGGCTTTTCCGCTTCTCGCTGGGGCCGCAGCAGCTATGTTTTTATCTCGTTATGCTGGTATCTCCTCCCACCTTCAGGGTGGGTAGGGCAGCCGGCGTGTCCTCCCCATTTTATCCTCACAGCAACCCTGCGCTAAGTGGGCAAGAGGGGAAAAATAACTGGTCCAGGATCATTGGGTGAGCTTTGGGACTGCCTAGGGATTTGAACCTGGGTCTCCCCTTGCTCGTCCGAGTCCCTGTGTAAAATTCCCTGAAGACCCCTAACCACCACCACCATCACACACCCCCTTTATGTGCAGGCTGCCCTGCTGCCACCCCTCCAACACACATACACACAAACAAACACACACACACACACACGCTGACAGGATCATTGGGTGAGCTTTGGGACTGCCTAGGGATTTGAACCTGGGTCTCCCCTTGCTCGTCCGAGTCCCTGTGTAAAATTCCCTGAAGACCCCTAACCACCACCACCATCACACACCCCCTTTATGTGCAGGCTGCCCTGCTGCCACCCCTCCAACACACATACACACAAACAAACACACACACACACACACGCTGACCCTTCTTGCACATACACACAAACAAACACACACACACACGCTGATCCTTCTTGCGGTTTCCTTTCAGAACACCATGACTGACGCCACGATCTTTCTGGAGGATGTGCAGAAGATGAAGGACAAGGGAGAGATTGCCCAGGCGTACGTGGGTCTGAAGGAGACAAACAGGTAGGAAGGTGTGGGTGTGTCTGTGTGTGTGTGCGCACATGGGTGTGGGTGTGGGTGTGTGTGTGTGTGCGCGCACGCTCAGTTTGCCCATGCATTTGGGCCCGTGTGTTGCTGCCCTTGGTTCAGACGGAGGAAAGAGACCGGCAGGGACCCTCGGAGGATGGCTTGGCGGCCATGCTGTTCCGCCCTGCTGTAGAGCTCCTGCCCAGAGCCCCAGAACACACATATTTTCTCCTCGGGGACGGAGGCCGTGCAGGAGGAGACCCGAAGCTCCTGGTTGTCTCGAACGGCAGCTCCGTGTTTCTGTCGCTAGATCGGCATGGATGTGAGACAGCCACAGTCCGGGCTCCTCCTCCGTGGCGGTAGGCCAACAAACCCTGGCCTGGGACAACGGTCGGTTGGGGGGGAAGGCTGCCAGAGGTCGAGGCTGGGACAGGCTGGTCCCCTGGAAGGGAGGGCTGGATGCGCTGCCCCCACAGCGGGAGAAGCCAAGCAGAAGGAGCTGGGCAGCTGGACTTCTTTTTTTGGGGGAGGGGGACGCCTTTCTTGCTCCCAGGGAGCCTGGGGTTTCTGGCACCCTGGCGTCTTGCCGCAGGCAGGCGGGGCCAGTGGAGGCCGAGAAAGCGGGGGGGTCAAGAAAAGGTCCTCCCTCTCCTCCCCCTCTCCGTGCTCCTCCCTTGCCCTGTGCTATGGCTCTCACTTCCTTGGACAGAAGGGGGGCTCTTGAGGCAGAAATCGCCTGACGGCAAACCCCCAAGTGGGTCCTTCATAATAAGTGATCCCCGGGGGCTTTTTCCAGAGGCTGATCTTAAGAGCAGGGCTGGAGACCGTGCTTCGCAAGGACCGTGTTTGTGGGGCCGCCAGAGGGGCCCCTCCTCGAGCCGATGGCTGTTTGGCCTCACGCGCTGTGGCGGCCAGAAAATCCTCCGGACGGCCGAGGTCTCTTTCCAGGCAGGGGACGTCCCGCCCGCCAGGCCTCGCTTTGTCTCCCAGGCCAGGATATTTGTTTAAAACTGGGAGGTGGACGTCCAGCCGCCCTTCAGTTTTGGTTTTGGACACAGCAGGTCCCATTAACACCCCCCCCAAAAAAATTGGCCCTCTGATCCTGCCCCTTTCCCTGCTGGTCGACTTCGGTCTCTCCTGCACACACCAGGCTCACGTCTGGGCAGACATGCTGGGGGTGGTCATGTTGAAGGGGTTTTATGTCCTTTGGGGGGGGGAGGGTCATCTGTTCCTTTGAAAAAGAAAAGAAAATCAAAGAGTAATGCTGACTTAACTTGCATGATCCATTTGAAAATTAGCATCCTGCCTCCCCCTTGTCCACGTCGTCGTCCTCCTTCCCCCTCCTCATGTATCCCTTTCTGTGTTTTTGCATTTCTGAACCCCTTTTGCTTGGAAGGTCGTCTCCTCAGGATTACCACTTGCTGAACGAGGACAGAGAGCTGTGGCTGGTGTACGAAGGGCTGAAGCAGGCCAACAGGTCCCCAGACTTTTCCCGAGGAGGGGCGTTCTTGTTCTCTGTCTGCCTCTCTCTCTCTCTTTCTTCCTTTTTTCTCTCTCCCTGCTGTGTTACTAACGAGCTGCTGCATGGCTTTTGGCGTCTGTTTCTGACAGTCGCCTTCAAGAGAGGGCCTCCCAACGAGCGGGTGGAGAGGAAAGGCAGAAAGGGGAGCCAGAAGCAGCCCCACTTCCAGCAGGCCACCGGGCGGCTGTTGGCTGGGCTCCCCAGCCAGCTAGGCCAGTTGAGCCCAGCCCCCACCCCACCCCATGTGCTCATGAAAGCTCATGCGGGGATTCCCCCCTTGGCTGTCAAAGTGCGAAGCACACCCCTGGCTCTTGTACACGCAACGCGGAGGAGGCCCCAGAATGGGCCAGGGTGGGGGGAGTCAGGAGGAGTCCTCAGGGTGCAACTGCGGACAAGGCTCGGCTCAGCCTTCTGCCTTTTGCCTCGATGAGCCGAGGAGGGTGAGTGAGCATGTACAGAGGGCGGCTTCACCTCTTCCTGCTCCCTCTCCCTTTTACCTGGGATGGGCGGGGGGGGGGAGCAGGCAGAAGCCTCTGCCATCGCCAGGCTGGTTCCCCCCAAGAAGAAAAGGGAGCCCACAGGGGTGTTTCGGCCAGGGACCCTGTTTTATCCTGCGCCTCTCCTTTTCTCGCACTGCTAACAAAAGGGTTTCCATATTGATGACACCCTTTTGTAAGTCTGCTAGAAGCTAATGTGGGAGCAGGAAGGGTCCTGCCCGGAGCCCGAAGGGGGAGAGGGGGCTGAGCTGCTTTGGGGTCTTCTCTGCCTGGGCGAGAAGCCAATGATGCTGGCGCCAGGGACAAAGAAAGACTGATGTTGGCCTTCATGGGGCGGGTCAGGGTGGCTGCCAGCTGTCCCGCTTCAGCCCATTTCAGTCCGGGAAGTGTCCGAAGGAGCAGCTCAGCGGAGGGCAGGGGGCGCTTCTGTTCAGCCCTGCCCTCGGGCTGCCCTCCTGGGGCACCTGCCTTGTCTGTGGGTGGCCGAGGGCAGGCTGGGACCTGGCAGCAACCCTGCCGTCCGTCCGTGTCTTGCCTTTGGCCTCCCTCCGTGACCCCGGCTGTGAACCCCCACCCCCTGTGCCTTTTGAGAAGCTGCTTGGGCAGTCCGGGGGTGGGGGGGTGGTATTTTTGTGCAGGGGGCTGTCCTTCCATTTCCTCTTCAAGTAGTTAATCCCCAAGAAAGCTCAGGGCGTGGCATCTTTCTCTGATGCTCTAAGCACCCTCCTGGATTGACGGTCAAAGCGCTGGGTCTCGAGGACCAGAGGTGGCCAACAACCCCACAGCTCCCACCCCTGTGGTGGTAAAAATGCCACCACGAACCAAACCGGGGACCCTTCTTAGTGGCACCCCCGGATTGACTGCCCAAAGCAAGCTGGTGGTAGGCTTGGTGCTGAGGCCCCTCCCTGGTAGACGGCGTTGTGTTTCCTTTCATCCCGCCTGAAGCCGAGACGTGGGACTGGTGTCGCTTCTGGCGCTTGCCTCTTGCGGCGGCAGCACCTCCAAAGGCCTGAAGGAGGAAGGGTGTACTCTGTGCTCCTCTTGCTTTTCCATACCGTTGGACTGCCTCGGTCTCTCTGCCGCTGCACGTGCCTTTGGAGCCGCATCGGGAGCTTCGGGCCTTTGGTGAGGATCCGCGCTGTCCACCCTGTAAACCNCCTCTCCCCCCCCTGCTCCCCCCCCCCCCCGGCTGTAGGCTCCTGGAGTCTCAGCTGCAGGCTCAGAAGAGGAGCCACGAGGCCGAGCTGGAAGCCCTGCGTGGGGAAGTCCAGAGCCTGAAGGAGGAGAACAACCGGCAGCAGCAGCTCCTGGCCCAGAACCTCCAGCTGCCCCCGGAGGCCCGGATCGAGGCCAGTCTCCAGCACGAGATCACCCGCTTGACCAACGAGAACCTGGTGAGCCAGACGCTCCTCCCGCCCAAAGGAGAGGCCCCGGGAGGGCTGGCGGTCAGGGGAGCCCCGGCGCTGGGGCTGGCGGTCGCGATGGAAAGCCCAAGGGGCTGCCTCCCAGGCCGGAGGAGACAAGGCCCCCGGGGGGGGGCTGTGGGGCTTTTGAAGGCTTGCTGGGCTTCTTCCCAGCACGGCAGAGGAAGCCTCCTCCGGTTCTCTCTGGCTCTGGAAACCCAGGCGCTTCCCTGTCCTGTGAGAGGCACCCATGCAGAGAAAGGGGAGGGAGGGCAAGCGCCGCACAATGGCCCCGGGGCGCTTTCCCTGGAGTGCCAGCGCCTCCGCCAGCCGCCCTCCGGCCACGCGTGGCCCCTCGGCCCTTTCCGCCCTGGCTCAGAGGGGTCTCTGCTGGAATGGCTGGGCGGGCGGTGCCTGTCACCGGTTTTGAGGTTGCTCGGAAGGGATGGAGGGTTCAGAGAGAGTTTTCGTCTCCAGTGAATGGGAAGAAATTCTCCACCTTATGCCTGTTTTTCCAGTATTATGAGGAGTTATATGCAGATGAACCCCTGAAGTATCAGTCGTACCGGATTTCCCTGTACAAACGGGTGATTGTACGTACCCTCCTCCCCCTGCGCTGCCTCTCTTTGCTGCTTCCAGAGCACTAACTGAGGCGCCGGCCGCCTTGTCTGCTGGAGAAGGAAATCCCTCCAGGAGGCCCTCCTAACGGCACGCCTCCCCCACCCCCGACCCCAGCGCTTTCTGTTGTGTCCGTCATGTTGGCGTCTTTCCCCCCCCGTCCGTGCGCACCGTCCGCTACTAATAAGGACCCCGCAGCATGACGGAAGCAGGTTCTCCGAGGGATGTCGTCCATCTTCTGGAGCAAAACTGGGAGCCTTTTGGGCTTCCAGGTTTGCTCTTTGGCCAACAGTTAGGTCACTAATGGGCTCCTTCTGGTCCTGGGTTGCCCGGGTGGCAGCATCGCCCCAGGCCTGCCCAGGCCTGCCTGCCTGCCTGAAGCAGAGCTCCTTAAGGTCTCGGACACCGTTCCAGGAGCCCCAGAAGGGCCGAGTTGTCGGGGCAGGGAGTCGGCCGCCATGGTGAGCCCTCCTTGCCCCGAGGTGCAACAGGAGAGTCCCTTCTGTCGCCCAGCTGGGCAGCCTGTCCCGCCCTGCAGTTTTGCTCCTGTCCAGAGCAGGAGATAGGGACTCTGTTCTCCTCCGGGCAGGTAGAGGATGATTAGTGAGTATGGGGTCCCCTTGGCCCCATGAAAGAGAGAGAGAGAGAGAAGCTGCCGGATGGTGAGCGATGGCTCTGGTGGCATCTGTGCACTGGCACGCCAGCCGAAGGCATCTGTCTTGGTCATGCTGCGTGTCTCTCCGTGCACCTTCAGAGCCTCCCGCTTACCTTCTTTGAGGCCATCGGCAGCAGCCTTTCCGACGTCCGGCCAACGTGGGCCTCCCTTTCACGGGGGCTCCTTTCTTCTTGCAGCGCTAACAGCACTACCGGGTCTGTTTCTGTCTCTGGTGTAGACGACCCTTCTCCGTGCCTAAGCCTTTTTTCTCTCTCTCTCTCCACTTTATTGTGTAGGATTTGATGGAGCAGCTGGAAAAACAGGACAAGACAGTTCGCAAGCTGAAAAAGCAACTGAAAGTCTTTGCTAAAAAGATTGATGAACTGGAAGGTAAGACACTTCTGACTGAGCCCGGGTGGTTTGCTTCTGGTCTGGCAGCGTGAGGGTCCCCTTCACTCTGTGGCAGGGGGCGGGGGAAGGCGGTGGCAGGGAGTCTTCCATGGCTGACGGCTGGATAGAAGAGCTAGAACAGCCCCGGATGTTTCTGTACATACAGCTGTGAAAGTTTTCTGAAGCAGTCACTGTGGCGTGAACTTCGGAGTGCCTCCTGGCGGCCGAGTGCAAGCAGGCAGAGAGGTGGGGAGCATGGAAGTTCACACCCTGCTTCTCTGTTTCCTCAAGGAACAGTGTTTGCTTTTGGCCAAGAGCAGGTTGGGCTCAAGCGAAGGGAGCTAAGAACGCTCACCCTCTCCTCGAGATAGGGGAGCGCTTGGCATCAGAATTCATCGGAAAAGCTTTTCTACTTCTGCTCTTTTCCACTGATTGTATGTGCAAGATACCAGGAGCCAGGCAACGCCCCCCCCCCGCCCCGACTGCCATCACAGAGCCCCTAGAGGCAGGGCCGGAAAAGGAGCCGAGCCGAGCGCCTGGGGGGGGGAGGAGGGGGGTAAAATCCTTCAGGGGGGCTCTTTGAACTCTTGCTCCTTTGCCGCTGCTTCCTTTGGCGCGTGAATGTGGGTGTGAATCGGACCGGTGTCTTTTCAGAACCCTTCGTGAAATGTCCGCTAATGCTCCAAGTGCCCTTGTGGAATTTCAGATGGTCTTGGGTATTGCTGTGCTTCGCGCCTCTCGGGGGGGGGGGGCAGGCAGGACATCCCTGCTGCTGACGCAACTTCCTTGCTGAGACTTCATTCTGCCCGCCCTGATTATTTGCTGGCCAGGAGTTTTGCATCCCTCGGGGAAGAGCCCTGCGCCACGATCCTGGGGACAGCCCTGCTCCCTGCCCGCTTGGCGCCCACCCTGTCCTTCCTGGGGGTTGTGCTTCACCCTTTTCAGGAAGTGGAACGAAGAAAGGGCAGGCTTCTCTGCCTTCAGGAAGCTTCGCCTGAGGCGGGCAGGGGCGGGGGCGGGGCCGTGGATGGAAAGGTTGCCTTCAAGACCTTTCACTTGGTTCAGCGCCCGCCCCCCCCCCCACGGGGGGCGGCCCAGGCCTGAGCGCTGCCTTCCCTTCGCCACACGGAAGAGAGCTTGGGAACCCAGACTCTGATCCGCAGGTGGATGACACCTGGCATGTAGGTAACGTGGAGGAAGAAAAGAAAAGTTAAGCCGCAGAGAGCTCTGGAATTTATGAGCACCCTCCGGCTGGACTCGTCTTCCGCGGGATGGCCTCACCGGCATTTCGGGCGGGGGGGGGAGTCCGTTCTCTTTGTACATTTCCAGGGCTTCAGTTTGCTAGATTTTGCTCTTGCTGAGGTCATTTCTTTAGCATTCTTTAGAACAGCAAATTCTTGTTTCCAGTATTTCCGTGAAAGGAGTTTGAGAAACTTTCAGGCCAGTTTGTTGTAATTAAATTCTTGGGCTTGGGGTAGTTTTGAAGTGATGCCTGCTTATTTGAAGTAACTTCCCTTGATTCTGAAGTAGGGGCGTTTATGATTGCAATCTTGAATGTCTTGTGGCCATGGGAGAACAATCCATCAGCCCTTATATTTATAATTAAATCTTACTGCTTCAAAGAAAATATTGGACTTAGTTCCTTTAAAGTCACTTTACTTTAAAGTATTTCCTTTAAAGGAAATAGTTCCTTTAAAGTCACTATGAGCTGAAAGAAATGGTATGTATGACAGTCCATCATTAGAAGAGAAGATTCCTCAAATGCTGAAAGCATCTGAGTAGGCAGCAAGCTCTTTTTACACCGTGCATAGTTTGCAGGTCAGTTGGCTTTCTTTTGTGGTTGGCTGTCAGGACTTAAATCCAAGAGTTGTTCGAGGGCAAAGCTTGCCAGAGCTGCATCTCTCTAAATGATGTGCTCTCAGCTGTAGCAGGGGACTGGGGGTAGTATCTGGTTCTGCCATGTGAACAAAACAAAACAAAACATCCCTAAACTGTTTGCCTCCAGATCTGCAAGGACAGGATCATACCTTTTTTTTTGGGGGGGGGCAGAGGGGAGGGAGTGCATGACACCAAGGCAGCTGATGACTTGGCCAAGAAGGATTGCCTCCTGTCAAAAGTAGCCGGAGGGCAGGTGTTTTTGGGATGGGGGTGGGGGTGTTACTTCTGCCCATCTATAACTTTCTCAGCAGGTTCTGTTGCATCGGGACAAGGTTTAGGAAACAACCTAGGATTAAGCTGAGATGCCCCTGGCTCCGTGTTGGGAGGTGTCCCCTCGTGTGGGGTATCCCTTGGAGGGGGGGGCGGCTTGTCTGGCCCTTCTGGATTTTTCGCCCAGCCTGAAGGCCCTTGTGTTCATCCACTGCTTGGGAGGGAGGGGGGAGCATTAAGGGGAAGCTGTTCAGCAGGTGTGTTTGGGCCAGAGGAACAAGGATTCTGTGGACCTCGAGATATTGCTGGACTACAGGTCCCATCCTCTTGTGCTGGCTAGACCTGATGGGGCTTGCAGTCCAGTGGCATCTGACCCCGCCCTGTGGTTCCAACGGTGAGTCCCCTGGCAGATTGTGGCCTAAATTGACCAGAACGGGATGGGCTTTTGCCGGGCGTTCCTCCTTCACCTTTCCTCCCTTTTCTCCCTCCAGTGGGCCAGATGGAGAACATTTCTCCGGGGCAAATAATTGACGAGCCCATCCACCCCGTGAACATTCCACGGAAGGAGAAGGACTTCCAGGGGATGCTGGAGTATAAGAAGGAGGACGAGCCCAAACTCATCAAGAACCTGATTTTGGGTCAGCTTTCTTTCTACTGGGCAAGCGCGCGGGAGGTGGGGGGGGGCGGCTGTCTTTACCGTTCCATTTTGTGATGGTTGCAGTGACGTCTGGTTTGTGTGATGAGGAGAGGAAGGAAACAACCCCCGCAGGCTGCGGCTGATTCTGTTCAGTCTTAAGCTATTCTCTTCTATAACAACCAGAGAGAAAAATGGACTGTGGCAGGAGGAGGAGGGGGCTTGGCATCCAGTGACGCAGCGGTCTTCTCCCGCCCTCGTTGGGGCTGTTCCTTGGAGGGCTGGTGATTTTTCAGGTCACGTTAAAGGAACCAAAGGGTCATCTGACCGCCTGTTCTGTGTCCTCCTGCAGACTTGAAGCCTCACGGTGTGGCGGTCAACCTCATCCCAGGGTTGCCGGCCTACATTCTGTTCATGTGCGTTCGCCACGCAGACTACCTGAACGATGATCAAAAAGTGCGATCCTTGCTGACTTCTACTATTAATGGCATCAAGAAAATCCTGAAGGTCAGTTTGCCTTCTTAGTTAAAATGTCAGTGTGGAGCGTGAGCCAAAGCAGTGGTTTTGATGCAAAGCAACCAACTAGCAAACAAAGCAGGCCTGAAGTTTAGACTGGCGTCTGAGCTTGACCATAAAGGGCATGGGCCCGTATTCTGTTGCATTATGTGGTGGTAGAAAGGAGATTATAGAAGCACTCGCCCATTATGGCAGGCTTTTCCTTTGGACGACGCCTCCTCCTCTTGCCCAGCGTTGTGAGATCAGTTGCATGCTTATGCAGTTTCCACACTGTGTTGAAACGGGCCACGTTGTTTTAAAGATTTTTCGTTCTGAATTCAGCCTCAAGGAACTGTTTGTGAGTGGTCTGGTGCTGCGCAGCAGGAAGTGTCGTTGTCACACAAAATGCAACCATCCATTCATTGCAGGAACTGAAGTTGAAACTGTGAAATGGGATTAAATGGCTAGGAAAAACATTTACAGCCTAGTTTGGAAAATCTAAGACAACCTTAAAGTGCCTTTTACTCATACAGCAGTGGAATTTGGTTTTGGTTTCTTGAATTGAATGACAAATTTTTCTTCAAATGGTCTTCTAATGTCTACCCTCTACTTATTTCTTGATTTGCTTTTAGAAAAAAGGTGATGATTTTGAAACCGTCTCCTTCTGGCTATCGAACACATGCCGGTTTTTGCACTGTTTGAAGCAGTACAGTGGAGAAGAGGCAAGTTTTACCCTTCCTGTTCATGAGGAGTACTTGGCCACGGGCAAAAAGTTTTGTACTAGCGATGGCAGGGAGATGCTTTTCTTGTCAGGATCCCTGTGACCTCCACTGCCATCTGGGTAGGGTTGGGGTCCGGTCCAGTCCAGTGGGATTGTTGGGCCAAAGCTGGAAATCGGTGGCGTGGGAGAGAAAAGTGGGTTGGATTTGTCGAGAGATGGGGATTACTTGACACCAGGCGAGGACCTGGATGTCGCCTCCCAACCCGTGCAGGAGAAACGTCCTCTCTAAGGTGAGAACTTTTGCCTTGGCATGTCTGCTAGAAAGGAGGCCTTTTGTGGAGCCTTGCATTGCCGTGGGGAGGGGCCTGTGCACAAGCCGGAATTTAGCCTCATTTGGGATTTAAATGATGCTTGGTTTATTTCTCTTCCCCCCCACCCCGCCCCCATGCTGCCCATCCTGACGGTTTGGGATAAAGAACTGAAGGTGCAGGAGAGCCGACCTCAACATTTGTTATAATTTCTCTCCCCATCCAGGGATTCATGAAGCACAACACCCCTCGTCAGAATGAGCACTGCCTCACTAATTTCGACCTTGCCGAATACAGGCAAGTCCTGAGTGACCTGGCCATTCAGATCTACCAGCAGCTGGTCAGAGTGTTGGAGAACATCCTGCAGCCAATGATTGGTAAGGCAAAGCAGAGGATCGTGCAAGAGGGAAAGCTCTGGTCTCCTTTTGGAGTTCTCTCTGATTCCTCACGGGTCAGGATCATTCCTAGCGGCCTCGCCGACATCCTTCTTCAGAGCTCAGTACTTCTTCTCTTTACTCACAGTCTGGGTGTCCATCAGTTTCAGGCATGCTGGAGCATGAAACCATCCAAGGCGTCTCCGGAGTGAAGCCCACCGGCCTCCGGAAGAGAACCTCCAGCATTGCGGACGAAGGAACCTACACGCTGGACTCCATCGTCCGGCAGCTCAACACCTTCCACTCCATCATGTGCCAACACGGGATGGACCCGGAGCTGATCAAGCAGGTGGTCAAGCAGATGTTCTACATCATTGGGGCCGTGACCCTCAACAACCTGCTCCTGCGGAAGGACATGTGCTCCTGGAGCAAGGGGATGCAGATCAGGTGAGGCGGCCTCCCAAACCCACCTCCGATCCTCACCACCACCACCACCAGCAGAATCTCGAATTCTTCATGAGTCGGGTAATGACTTCCAGGGGCGGTTGGACTCTGGGAGTCGGAGCCCGTTTGGGGTGGTTTCACTCACTTGTCAGGTGCGCGTATCTCTGAAGATGGTAGGGCAGCAGATTTGGGCATCCCCTTGCAAACAGAGAATTGCAGATGCAAGGAGATGGGAAGGAGACCTAAGGAGTCTTCTGCAAGTCTCGTAATGTTGGGCAAATCTTAATCTTAAGAGCCAAGCTCTAAACTACCCTGGCAATAACCTTTTCCCAGTAAGTGTTTACTGGCTCATAGTAATAGAGACTGGGGAAGTGGGGACTCTGCTGTGGAGATGGGAGCGCACACACACCCCTTTGGCCCCTGCTGCCTCTCTTCCTATCTTTGCATTTGTCTGACCAAGCACGCAACCTCTCCCCACACGTTCTGGGTATGGGGAGAGGCCTGGCATTTTGCACACAGCAGACAGGGTCTGGGGACCAGCTCCTTTGCCGCAGCCCTGGGACTGCTGGGCAGAGACCCCATAGGCACAGCTCCCTGGGCAGCCAGGCGGTCAAGGAATGGGACTGTGGAGCAGCCAGCCAAGGGGTTTCATTTTCCTGTGGCAAATATTTACATAGTTCAGGCCCTGGGATCCTTAGCTGGCCAACAGCTAATTGTCAAATTGTCCTGGGGGCCAGGGGAGCAGAACCCTGCTCAGGAGGCGTAAGTTAAAAGATGTCTGAAGGGTGAAAAGAGGAACCACTGTCTTTTGACCAAAATAGCCAACGGTGAGCAAGGCAACGTTTCGGAGACTTGTGTTTTTTCCGTCATGACGTGATTGGCTTTCTCAAGTCGTTTTGCATAATGATGCAGTGGATGCTCCGGAAAGAAGCAGGTTTGGCCATGCTCGGAACAAAACGTTTGCTAAATAATTGGCAGGAAATTGTGTGGATGGAAATAAGTGTTAACAGGAAAAACGTGAAGGAAAATATGTCAGTCCCATCCAGGTGAAGTGTTTGTTCTTCAAGGCCTTGATTTCCGTTTTGCTTCCATGCCTTTGTCCTGCAGGTACAACGTGAGCCAACTGGAGGAATGGCTGCGGGATAAGAACCTGGTGAACAGCGGTGCCAAGGAGACCCTGGAGCCCCTCATCCAGGCCGCCCAATTGCTGCAGGTGAAGAAGAAGACCGACGATGACGCCGAAGCCATTTGCTCCATGTGCAACGCCTTGACCACCGCCCAGGTGAGCCGGGCTCCTCCTGGGCGGGCGCCGCCGGCCTGGCTAGCAGTGCCCCCTCCGCTCCTCCTCCAGAGTAGATCTCCGCCTGGGAGGGGGCCTCCAAAGGGGTGCGGGGCCACACAGGAGAAAGCCATTTGTTTAAGACACAGACTTTTAAAATAAAGTAATTCTAAAGCTGTTTTAGATGTAGAGATGGCCAGGATATATATATGTATGTGTGTGTGTGTGTTTGTGTTTTCTTACAGATTGTTAAAGTTTTGAACCTGTATACTCCGGTGAATGAGTTTGAGGAAAGAGTGTCTGTGTCCTTCATCCGGACAATACAGGTAGGAAATACCTCTCTTCCCCTGTTCATCCTACTCACTCTCCGTTGAGAGAGAGGATTCAGCTGGAAGAATATCAGGGAGCGTCTGTATGTGTGTATGTGTGTGTGTGTGTGAGAGAGAGAGAGAGAGAGAGAGAGACGATAGGGATGAGGGGAAGAATGAGAACAGGGATGAGGATCATGATGGTGATGGTAAGGTTGTCACATTTTTCCTCCTCTTCTACCTTGTTCCTGTTGACAGTGCCATAGGGTGGATATGTATAAGGTGGGGTGATGTGTTACAAAACCGGGGGGGGGCAGGTGTCTGTCTATGCATGCATTTGTATCTGTGTGATCAGTTCCGTCCCCACAAGGCTGGACATTCTTGTTGATTGATCTTGCTTCAGATGGGTGGTTTAATATCCCTTTGGCTGTCGTGGAAGGGAGGGATCGGGTGTAAATCTGCTTAAGCCGAGGACTTAGCTTGACCTGACGAGCCCCTTTTCCCCTTTCCAGCTGCGCCTGCGAGACAGGAAGGACTCCCCTCAGCTGCTGATGGATGCCAAGCATATCTTCCCCGTGACTTTCCCCTTCAACCCTTCGTCTCTTGCATTGGAAACCATCCAGATTCCAGGCAGTCTGGGTCTTGGGTTCATCACTCGTGTCTAAGCCACGAGTGCCGTTCGCTACCAGTCATGAGTTTGCTGCCTGTAATCTGTCTCGGTGATAGCGAACACACTGAAAAGCCATGAGGATGGACGGACGGGGGTGAGGGGTGGAGGGGGGTAGGGAAAGAGGGCTTGAAAATGTCCTGCAGATACCCGATCTTGCGTGGCTGAAAGACGGGATGCTGCAGGTCCTGCTTTTCCCTTCCGCTTCCCGTCGCTGGAGGCGGAGGGAAAGGCCCCCATTTGTACAAAGCCATCCTTCTCATGATGAGGCCTGTATAAAGAAGCTAGGCGTTTTCCACTATAGACCGAAGGGGTTTTCAGGCCCTCTCCTTGTTGGTCACAGGCTGTCTCACATTTAACTTCAGAACCAACTGGACCGTCTGTGACTAATAACTGAGCATCAGGCCTCGACTGTTGGGGGGGGGAGGGAGTTAGGGACACCTGAGGAAGGGGCTGTTTCGACAGGGGTGAGGCTGAGGGTCCCACCGTCCGGGGGGCTGCCAGTCGCCCATCCCTGCGACACCGTCTGCACAGCAGAGGATGGGCAGTTGTACATGACTTGCTGCTAGACGAGGACCTAAGGGGGGGGGCGCAGCGTTAATGCAAGGCGCAATTCTCCTTTAGCAAAGAATAGAAGCATTTAAAGATCATGTCCGTGTACTTTAGAGGCCGGAAAGTTTAGTGCAAATTGGCAGCAGTCGAGGGGCAGTCCCAGCATGTGTCTTGTAGAAGCCTGGTGGAATTGAGCCAGAATCACCACACACGTGGGAAGCTCTGCCCACCACAAGGGGCATCTGTGGCGGAAGAGCATTAGAGGTGGTTACCCAGAAGAACATAATCAAAAAGCTTCTATGTTTATGGCTGCAGGGCATAAATGAAGAAGTTCCCGAAATCTTTGGGCTAATGATACGGTACAACGTAGCTTTTCCTTAGTTAGTATTGTTCTGAGACATATCCAACTTCTGCTGTGTGGTGGGTTTTTTAAATGTACATAAGCATCATTAGGCAAGAGAAATACAGAATTTGAAACAAAACACAACTTTAATAGTCCAGTCTTTTCACGGGAGTTATAAAAATATCCAGAATATCACTGGTATTAGGAGATGGTAGCTAAGCACAAACAACGAACTGGAAGACTCATCCTAGTTATTTAAGGTACGTTTGCTAAAGGACTCCCAAGATCTTGAGGTCCAGGAACAAAACCTATTGTATTTTAGTATTTATTCATTATTTTTTGTATGTTAATTTTTCATTTTGATTTTCTGGTTGCTGCTTTGTGATGGCAGTATGTCTGTTTTAGGATTATTTGTTGAGGAGTTATTTTGTGTTATGGGGGCAGAGGCACCTTTGAGTTGGATCTCAAATGCCTGGGCATTCTTTCTGTCCAAATCTCCCCGGTATAGAATTAACAGGCCCTGCTACATTTTCATTATGAGGAAAGGAAAGTAGCTCTGATTTCGATGCGCTTTTGAAAAATAATATTCCAGTTTTGTTTCCGTGGGAAAGTTTAGTTGGAAACATTGCAAACCAGGATCCCGCTTGATCAAAAGCTTTT